ATTCAAAGGTTCAGTCTCCTTAGGAAGATAAATGATGGTAAAGGAGCACTACTGTTTTTTTCCTTCTTCTAGAAATCGTAGAATATAATTTTTTGTAAACTCATTTAGACTGCGTGTTGAATATAATGTTAATGCAGAATAATCAATTAAAATTGATTGAGAGTTATATTTAAAATAATAATGATGCATGAATGAATTTATTCTAGCTTTGTAATCTACTCATCGTAATATTATTGGCAGTTAACCCCTCTTCTAATGTTGGTTTTTGTACCTTGATCGATTTTAATGGGATATTCTTATCATTTTTTCTGTCCATGTGTCCCGACTTTTAGTTCTGTAATAAGAAGATATAACAATCTACTTGAATTTTACATATTTCAATTTTGATAACAACGTGTTCAATAATTTGCTTCATAATGTTCTTCTAAGATGGAATATAAGTTGGATAAACACACATAAAATACGTATAAAATAGAAAATTCAATATTATTTCAAGCTAAGAATCACGAGAATTATGAACAGATGAAGCTTTTAACACAGCTATGAAAATTGGTTTTAGGATGATACACCTTATTGGGTATTTATTCCGAGTCACATGATGCTTTTTTGAGCCATTGTTTTGGGCCATGGCGGCTAATGCTCCAGGGATCATAGAAGCAATGCTGAAATAAAGAGAATAGATTTTGCAAAGTTAGGGGAAATTAGTTACAACGTTTTTTAAAATGACAAGAAAAAATAATTCAATAATAAATCATTTTCTCATAAAATATATCTTTTTCATATGTATATATATCTTTTATTATTAATAATAATTTCATTGGAGAATTTTTTCATCTTGTTTCAATTCATTTAAATTTTATCGCAATATGAAAATATGAAATAATTATAAATAATTTAAACTTCTATTTCAAGAATTTAATTCGATAATTTCTGATTATGACCTGCAAGTATTATTAAAGCTCAACAAGAGTGGTTGAAAAAATTAGTCTGCAATCAAGTATGTCAATTATATACAAATTTGTTCCATGTAAAAGTTATTTTCATTATTAATATTTCCAAGTGTGATGTAAAACTAAGATATCATGTTGGATCAATCTATTGCATAAAATTAAACGGACGAAATAATAAATCAGTGAATTTCATTTCTGGGTTTAAAAAGCACAAAATTTATCTGTACTTTAAAACTCTAAAGAATCAAAGACTTTGATGCAACTGCAAGTTTGAAGTTTTAATTCTATGTTACATTGTGCAAGAGATTGCTTTAAAACTGTTTCGAATATTGACAAAAAGAGAATCGTTTTGATTGAATTTTTTGTGTGGTTCAAGCTTTTCAATTATTTTTTATCATGATTAAATTTACCAAGGAAGTCTCCCTTGTGCACCCCACCCACCTTCTGGCTTTGGACTTATTTATGACTTTTTGTGGTTATTAAAGAGCTTGAACTACAAGACAAGCTCTACTCAATAGACTTTTTTTCATAGAAGCTTTGATTGGATGTGGCTAGGAGTTCAAACCTGCCACACAAAAATTCTATGAGATTTTTTTGGGATAATAGATTAATATAAAAATCAATATATATATATATATATATATATATTTGATAGATCTTATAGATATATACAAAATAAAAATCAGATTTTTTTACAAAAATTATGAAAAGTTGAAAATTTGTTTTGCAATTCAAAAATTGAAAATTTGAAATTCATAGCAAATATTAATTTTGGCCAATAAAATTTACCTTAAAGATCATTTTTTGACTTTGAGATGCACATTTTGTATGTATTTAAGTTTGAATTTGTAAATAGCTGACGTACATAAATTTTGTGTTAGCAAAATTGATAGTAAGAAGTTTAAATAATAATTAAATGAAACAAAAAATGACTATGCAATTAGCCACTCCCAAAATTTATTCGCCAAATGAAGATGATTTTTTTTTCTCATTGTAAATTTATGTCTACTTTGTTAAAATTTTATTCAAAATGCTGCAATATGTCAAATTGCGACAAGAATAGTTTATCAAAGTCAAACATGAAGCAATCAGTACAAAAGTCTTTGACTAATGGCATTTTGCACTAGTAAAATTGACGTCTTTAACTATTATTCAATTCTACTAATTCCTATGTATATTTCAAAAATTCACGAAATCGATTTCATTTTGAGCTGACGTAAATTAACTTCATGTTGATTTATCCTAGTTATAAGAGATTAAAAGTATATTCAATATGAAGCAAATGAGAAAGCAGTTTGAGCTGTAGGCATCATCCATTAGAGGTACGTTTCTTCATTTCTTATTCCTTGAAGTACACATGTCTTTACCCTATGTTTATGTCTCTAAACTGCAGGTGTATGGATGCTAGTTTTTCAGTTAACGCTATCTTAGGATCAAATGAACTTTTTTAACTTTCTCATAATTATCATAATAGAAGAAATTATAAATCGAAAGGTATTGATATCACACCCTCAAGTTGTGATCATTTAAATATATTACGCTAATATGAAGATGAATGCTATGTAATTAAACTAACGAAATATTGCAATTAGTTAGCAACTTTGACATATAACTTTTTGAACTATTAATGACTGTAAACTATTGTTACATAGATATAAAAAAGTTTCAAAGAATAAAAAAATTTAAAATAAAAAAACATGACAAATACAAAATATTCACATTGCTAAGAAGGTGAGTTAAATAGAGTTTAAATTATTCACGACTTATGGATATAAAAAAAATATCAGTTAGATTGTGAATGCTACGATTCATGGTAGTTTTCATTTAGCGTTCTGAAAACATAATTGGTCCCCTGCATAAGCTTTCAATATGAGTATTACAATATGATGTGTAGTCTGACTTCGCATCAGCCAATAAGACAAAAGAGATAATCCGTAATTGAAATAAGTACTGTGACCCCTGGATGCCTTATTCGACACCTTTGGACCTCGTGTTTCCAACGGGGTGGAAACGACAGGTTCAGTGAAATATTGTCATTTATTTCTCATTACCAGTGTATCATATGTTACCGGTTTGGTTTTCCTTTTAAAGCTGAATGGGGTCTTCCCATCGTTTTTGCTAAATTACTAGGTGCTTGTGGATGCCTTTTGTAAATTATATGATTATGACAGCCAGTGTTTCTTCTTTCCACGATCAAGGTCCTGCGCATGAGATCAGTCTCTCTCGGTCATATTACATGACCGATACCAGCTGACATAAAATCTCTTAACCGCTTTATGTTCCAGTTGCATGCAAAACGTACCCCCCAACTCAACCTCGGCGATGGCTTCATCACATTGTTCAATTCACCTGGCTGCTTATGAGTTACAGACAACATTAGATCATTTTACATTTTTCTGTTTCTGTAATTGTATCAAGATGGTTCAAGGTCTAGATACAGTCGATCCCTGAGACAAATCTACCCTAATAAAAGAAAGCAGCTCGTACCCACACACCGTAGTCTCACAGAAACTCACACTTCTAGGAAAAGCTGCTGTGTATACTTACATATGTCACACCATTCTTTACGGATAGCATGTGTCTCCAGGAAGTAGATTACAGGCAGAGACAAATCTCAAATATGCTGAGTTACTCTGTATATATTTCAGGGAGCAACACGTCAAGTCAAAAAGACTAGCAGCTCAGAGGAGGCTGAAGCAGTTTCAGAACTTGTCGAGCATGCTCTACAAGAATTGTAATAGGCTGATACGCAATTTTTGAGTTACATCCACTTGCAGCGTCTCGTTTCTTGCGTGTATCTGTTTAACTCACTGCGGTGTGGTGATAAATATCGTGAATCAGATACGCAGAAACAGGTTGGGGAGAAGCCAAAAGACGTATGAAAGTGTTTTATGAAACTGTGATTACAATTGGATCCTCTAAGGACTGAAAGTTTATGTCGAGGGTATTCGCTAGTATATAAAGTGTTTGCCATTCACCACATTTTCTGTGAATGTAGTGGGAGTCGTTACACTGTTCGATCTTGATGCTGCACAGCAGTATCCGGTACAACGTCCGGACTCAAAGCTTCGAAGTTGAATCTACCAGGGAACAAGTCATCGAGACAGACGGAAGATGAGAAAACAGACTCAATATCACACAGCCTAATCGTAATAGTCAAAATTGTTGTAAGACACCCTAGTCTCATGTCTGCCAAATACCGATAAAGTGTTTCGCTCAGTCCGTCCATGCAAAGTATATGATAGAGTTACTTGCTCAGAAGAGCACATGAGAGTCTTAGAGATATATTGCGTGTGACAGCAGAGAGAAACACTGCACCAGTTAAGGGATACTGACCCTAAGAAGATAGTAATCAGTAGCACACTGAAGTTACAAATAATCTCCTGCGCAGATTAAGGTAGCCCGTGAAGAAAGCTTAGTTAACTTTGTCTGATCGCCTTTATTCAAGACGATTCAAGAAAAGCATGTAGTTGTGGATGGAAGAACAGTAATCACATTCAGTTCACTCACTTCCAGAAAGTCGTTCAACGTCTGACTCCTTTGAATTGTAGTCAACGCCAAGTTTGCCAAGTGAGCAAACGACAGTTGAGAAATATCATAAAGTCCGGCATATTCTTCTCAGAACATTCTGATATGAATGCTTTTGACTCATTGCATTCCGCGCCTCTCGGCCTTCTGTTTTGCTGTGGTGCCCACTGCATACTTACTGGATGCAACAAATGTGGATTTTCACTATCAATACAGTGGACTTGACGAACATGCAATAAAACTTCTCCAGATATCACTTTCCGGATGGATGTCCACCTCCTAACCTATGTGTTGACCTCCTTCGTTTACTCAAACATTTCCCGCATGTATAGTTTACCTGCTGCTGTCACTAAAAACTGCTCATAGAGCAAGCTGCAAACGAAGTCCTATATGTTCGCTTCTTTAAGTAGAAGGCTGATACAACGTAGAGAAGTATTGAAGTACATCTCGTCAAAAGCTCTAAACCGTGACATGTATCGATGCCAAAGACCTCAAGTGGAACTAGCGTCGTTGATGGATTCGAAAGATTCTGAAAGTGGGAATGGTAAGTTTGCAAGTAGGCGAGAGGAATAGAGTGGTAGTTTGGAGTGGATTAAAAAGCATACACAAGGTACACACGTTGCCTCAGTGGTGCGTTCGTACAAGATTCCTTCCTTGCCGACCTAATGCAAGAGACTAGAATACTTTATCCACAGATGACGAGGTTTTACATACACGGTAGGTGCTCTTTAATATCTAATCGTTCAGCGTGCGAGGCGCCTCGTGCGACTGATGAGGGTTGAGATATTATGGTCTCAACAGCAGTCACAATGACTCCGGTTTGTTTTATAATTTCTCCATTTCCGTTTCCTTGTTGTTGTTCTTCTTCTTCTTCTCAGCTTCATCTTCTAATCCTCTTCTTTCTCTTTCCAGTTTTCTTCCTCCTTCCATCTTCTTTCTTCCTTCTAATTCTCTTCTTTCTCTTTCCAGTTTTCTTCCTCCTTCCATCTTCTTTCTTCCTTCTAATCCTCTTCCTTCTCCTTCCAGTTTTCTTCTTCTTTTGCGTTGCGGACGACTGACATGGGGTTTGACCCAACTCTGACGTCTGTCCGAAAGCCCGGTCAGGATTCTTTTGGCTTTCCATCATTGAATCATGCATCCTGCTTCCCCGTGGATTCCGCATCTGAGCTTTTGGGAATGTTCTAAATGCCAAAGAGAAATTTCAAGTACGAGCCTTTTCCTCGAATGAAAGTGCGTAAAGGGCGGTGCCATTTCTGCAGTCGCCAGTTGCTTGATTCGATGCCTGCATGGATGAGAGCGAACACGGTAAGCACAGCAATATAATATTCAAGCACTTTGCAAGACGTCTCTAGTACCAGTCCCATTATAACATCTTTAACAGACAATGCTGTTCATGTATGTTTTGTGTACAGAGCAGCTTTTTAAGTGTATCAAGTTCCTTATTACTTGGCACCTGTGACATATTGTTATACATGCTTTCACTAAATATGGGTCCTACATTGAACAAGAGGTTTACAGATCGACGAAATTATTCAAGCTTTGAGCGAGATCTCGCTAACTGCTGTGTTAACTTTTGCTAGCCGCTCAGCAAAATTTGAGTTCGAACGTCGACTGAACTTTAGTGTGACGTATAGCTGCGATCACTTCAATCTTGGAGTTGGGATGAGGCAGTGTTACGTAGTCCTTCATCACTCCTTTCAAGACAAAACTAGAGGAAGGCAGGCCCCAGACTGTGCATGCAGTCCAGTCGAACGATTCTATTACATGGATATTACCAGATTCTTGGAGATCTCGAAGTGCAGCGTTTAAAACAGATTACGACATCCGTATCTCAAACTGCGGAGCTCGCTCCTCGATTTGGTCCAATGAGTACAGATCTTTGTGTGCACCTCTCTCTTCCTCCCAGCCTCGACTTCGCTACGTTACTCAGTCAGCCCCCAAAAAAAAATGCAGCTGCACAGATAAGGTCTATTCTCTGCCTACAAGGGAAGGTTTGACATGATGCAATTTGCCAAAATTGACAGAAGGCGTAGGTTAGGTTTCGCAAGCTTGTCTCAAGAGCTCATCGTCAAAACTGAGTCGGAGCATTCCTCAAGGGACTAATTGAATCCACTCTCCAGTCATATATACCTTACCTGTATGCGTATCACATGACGCGAGGCTGCGATCTTGTTGGAAGAAGTGACGACTTTTGTGATATCCGCGTCCAATATCCAGAAATGCGATTTTCAAAATTAACGAATTTCCTTAGAAGCGCTGCAGCTGCAGTGCATCTGGAATGTAGTACCTGCATCGGCAAGCAGGGTACCGTTAGGCCTAGTCTTTCGGCTGCACTGCTGCATCGATAGCCGTTACTTCTTGTCCTGACAGCCACCACCCTAATCAGGGCCTAAGCGGAAAGAAACAGGAGCACAACTGGATCACGAGTGCCTGTGAGTACGCTCCGTATCAGAACACCAGTCAATATCTGTAATTGTTTTCTTCTTTCACTCCTGACCATAAGGCCACATTGCCTACGAAAAGCTGCAGTGGCTGCTGGTGGTGGATAGGTGTTCCTGAACATCTGCATCGCGTTCGAGAGGTCTAATAGGTTTTAGCTGCGAGAAATCCGTCAGTGCAGAAGGTCATCGGAACTTTCACAACGCGTGTCGTTAGTTCCTGGCACTTTATCGACTCGAATGTGCTCCAATTCCACTCACATCTCGCACTTTTTTATCTGAAACGCTCGTTCACATACTCCACTCACATCTCGCAGAGTGGGTCCGGCGAAGATGGTCCCGGGGTTTGTGAAGCAGTGTTTCAGTTCTAAAAGTGCTTCATCTACTGAAAAAGGATCAAGAAAAGAGCAACACACCATTCGAAAGGTCAGTCCTGAACAGTTTTTCCTATTTTTTGAAATTTTTTATAGACATGGGGTGGGAATTGAGGCAACTTCGACAAGATTTCTGGGAACAGAACAGAACTGGTAGAATCATAGATGCAAACTCAAGTCTATCTCTAGCTAGAAGCTAACAACTGCATTCTTCATTGAGGACGTGGCACTTGTGTTTTCGAGAGCTCCTCAGAAATTGTTCTAAACCAGTCATTTCGTACACATGTGGTCACCAACCTAAGCCTGATCATGAATCGCATTGCGGCAGACGTACTCGATGACCTTCGTAGAGAAAAGAACCTTCTCCGACTTAAGAGGATTCTGGAAGTCTAGCCAGGGACTGGCTGGCTGGCTGGCTGCGTCAGGGTGGGAATAAATAGAAAACACTTCGACTACTGGCTTTACATCAGCAATCTCAACTCGACACTCAGCATCTCCGTTCTCAGACTGCCAATCTTTTCAGCAAACCTGAACTCATCTGGTAGCTGACACAAGGTGGTTTCAGATACTGCTGCAAATCCGGGCAATCCCTTACAGAATCCAATTATTCAAGCGTTCTGTACGCTGTAGATTGCCTTTTCACACCCCTGGTAAGCCGTGATTGCACAGGGCGGCGGCAAGGCACACTCAAATACCGTAACGGAGCTTGAATAGTATTTGAACTATCCAGAAGCAGACTGAGCACTTCCGGGCCGGAGAAATTCTCAGAATAGGTGAGACCTGTTAAGAAAGTGTCCGGTGGTGTAGACAATGATCAATGAGCGTACAGCGTAGCAAACAATTGCGTCTGATTTCCAAATCTGGATGCGGATGGGATGCAAATGTGGATCCTGCAAGTATGCTACTGAATGCCAATGATCACATGTTCGTTTTCAACGTGGATTAAACCATGAAGATGGTCCAGGCTCCGATTTGGGCCAAGTCACTACAACTACATATACATTATTTGGCAACCATTAAATGTACAAACGAGTCGACGGGAACTTTCTTGCGTGCACGTGCGTCCTGACAGTGTACGGGCGGTCGAGATAGGATAATTGAGTTCAGAACCGGTTAGTTTGTCAAGGTTGCATCTAAGACAGGTGACATTGTGACCCAAACCGACAAGACCTACAGTAGCACTCACAATTGCACTTGCAACAGCAACAGCGCCTGCTCTCTTGACACTTGCTTGCATGCATGCGCATGCATTTTGAAGCGAGAAGATCCTCTCGATCGATGATATGTCCTTCATGGTTTTACTGTTCATAATATACGGGCGGGCTGAAAGACTTCCATCTCCACATCCTATCATGTACTTGGGAGTTCCTTAGGGCCCTCCGAACGCCGAAGATCGATTTCATACGTATTGAAGATGCTTTGCTCCCTCGAATGTCCTATGTCCTGGCTCCACTATCCGTTCTTCAAGTTGACAGACAGAGAGACAAATCTGCGTCACTACGTCCTGCCATTTCATCCCCATCGTCGATCTAAGTGATGAGGATTCAGGGTCCAGGTTTAATAGAAGGTGACAGATCGAACGCGAACCCTTTCGCATCTGAGCATGTGCATCGACTTAGTTGTTCAAACTGAAAGAAGCTATTAGATGGTTCAACATCCTGCAATGATGTATCTCGTGAAATATTGTGGGAATTTTTTATAGAGCCTTGTGTGCATACAGCTGCTGCCTCCTCTACTGCAGAGCAATCCGAGCAACGTGATGCACGTGTTCGCCCTAAGGGCCAGATATAGTAGAAGGTGACAGATTGAACAGGAACCCTTTTGCATCTGAGCATGTACATCTATAACGTTTGTCAAGACGAAAGAACCCATAAAATGGTTGGATTAACAGCGATGATTTGTATCGTCTTTAGATATAGTGGGATATCTTAAAGTGTTTTGTGTGCAGAAACCTCCCACTAGTACTGCGGAACAATCCGAGCAACGTGGTGAACGTGTTCGCATGGGAGAAAAATTGCATAACAATTGGCTTTCGGGCTGCTGTTACATACCAAGGACTATATATCATCTACATCTACGGTTTCGATACCCACCAGACTCATGACCAATGCTCCAAGATAACTGAAGGTTTATCACAGTTACTTGGAACGAGAACCTAGAGTTGAGCTCTTGGGAATTCCATCAAATGTAACAGCATCTGACTTCTGCAGCTTTTTCCTACACTCACCTATAATACATCGTAGAAATCGAAGATTCTTTCCCAGATCTGTAAAAAGTGGACAGGCGAGGTGTCGCTCTCACTAAGTGTAACCAGCATTGACAATAAAAGAAGAATCTGCACTCTGATACGATCATATATTAACAACGTATCCTTTCATATAAAGACCAGAAACAGCATTCTGACGTCAAGTCCCAACGCGCTTTTGTGCTCCCCAAGTCGATTCAGGTCCCAACTCACATCGTGTCCTATTCCATCCTTGTATGACACCAGCTCCTACGAGTACTTTTGCATGTACTCGCAACTTGGTTGAGTTTCAAGAAGCAGAAGGCGCTGGGCTGGAATCAAAATAGATATAAACAACTCTGAGGATCGAGAAAATGGCCAAGATGGCGGCAACAACGGCCGTTTGGAAGTCGTCATGCACGCTGGACGCTGAGTCTAAGCTCTTTCTGGGTTCTTCGGCACTTGTCGTAGGCACTTGCCTTGCCATTGGAGTGTGACTTGCCGATTGATGCACATCCAACTTGCTCGGAGCTTTTTGACTATTCGGCTGCTAACGGTTATTTATTGTTCTTTAGGGTTACACTGTTTTGGCGCCTGGACACACGTTCGAATAAGAAGACTCTCAGTGCAGCTTTCAGCTTTAAAACTCGATCACTTGCGGGCTTTCCCGATTCGTTCAATCAAGTTGCTCTGCCCGCACTCGTTTCATCGTCAAGTGGAGGACTGCTTCGTTGACAGCAAAACTATCCCGCTGTTCGTTAGTCTGATGCAAACTTCTCACGGAAGCAAAGGAAAGAAGAATGTCGGAAGGATATCTTTCTGAAAGACTCCCTCTACAGCAGGAACTTGTTGCTGTCTCCAGTGCTTGCTAAACCTCTGTTTCTGCAGCTCCGATTTTTCTATCGTTTCGCTCGTACCGGGGAGAGTATCCTTTCATTTACGTATTATCTTCTGAGCCTGGAGTCCACCCATTTCAGTTGCCGACATCTGCAGTCCGCTGCTTGTGTATATTCTCGGCAAAATGTCATTGGATTATTCTCAGCTGTAGACCACGAGTTGGTGTTTGTCTCACGTCACCTCTAGAATTGCACACACATTACACTCAGAGACGACGTTGGGTGGTTAATTGCTTGTGTTGAATCAAACTCCTGATTTAGCGCTCATTACATCATTTATGCGCTAATCTTGTCTTAAGTACACACCACAAATGAATATTTAAGTTTTTTCATTTGCGTGAAATATTCGAAGCCAGCGCTGCAATTACGTGCTAGTACTTGATCATCAACCATATTAACTGCGGTATTCAGTGGAAATCAACTTTAAGAATCTAAGTATTTTCAATGGACAGGTTTCCAAGATACCGCGTATCCTTGAATGATTATTGCTATTATTAATTTTACCCACGTTAAGGAAGAAAAGGCTAATGATACATTCCACTGCAACTTTCAGCCGTTAGGGATCTTATGATATGTCAAGCGTGATATTACCTTGTATGCTTCTGTTAACTCTAACATAATTGGTTGAAGGATGGGTCCCATCAACGAGCAAGGTTCTTGTATGAATTTCGAAGCTGTCTTTGGAGCTCCATATCTCTAGAATAAAATACAAATTTTCTAACAAAAACACATGTATGTTATATCTCTCACAATTTGCGAGTTTCTTAGCTTCAAGTCTAATATATTCCTTTAGTTATAGAACGATTTCCAATTAAAGTCAAATTCACACAATATCACATTAAGGGAATTAAGTGAACTCACCAAAAATCAAAATTTCTAGGAACGTTTTTGCTTCTTGGAAAATCTAAACCTATTCTTGGAGGTTCTAACTAAAAGCATAAAAAACGAAAGCATATTCTCTTTGTAAATTCCTTTCAAAAAACATAACACTTATCATGTAAAGAAAATTTAAAATAATGATGATTTTTTTTGGATTTTATTTCCTTCAACTCTTTTCTCATGATATTTAGTATGATGTAATGCAATGGAAAAGTGAATAGATTCAGGAATATTTGTGCTGTAATAGTTTTGAGAGTCACCTGAAGAAAGTTTGAGAATATAGTATTTTTTTGTTGGATCAATTAATTTTCTATTTTCTAATTTCATTCTTAAACGAGGTCGAATGTCGCAAGTTCGTAATTTAAGCTAGCGTAAGCTGAGAATTAATAAGAACAGAGAAATAAGAAAACCTCTTGCATACTAACAATGGAGTGGAACATGGACCCAATCATATCTGCAAGAATGAAAAGTAAATTAAAAAGCGGAATCTGTTGCAATATAATCTTTGAATCTGCAAATATGCAGGAACATACAATGGATTCCAGTTTTGCTTAAAATCGTTTAAATTAGAAATATACAACGATCAAAATTGCCTTCTGAAGCGCTTATGTGTTGATCACACAACTACAAGAAAATGGACATGAAACCAATATACTGATATGTTGGATCCATTTACCATGGCTGTTGCACTGGTGCCCTTGGCACTTGTACAGACATTCTGACACACTATAACGGTTACGTGAAATTACAGCAACGAGGATCGATTACGATCTCGTACTTTCATGAACGGCGTGACAGGTGTTAGAATGTCTTTAAAGTCCTATCACGATTACAGTTACTTTTAGAAGGATTAGACTATGCTTGGGTTCCTTCTCTGGTGGCCAACTTGGTCACAATGAAACCTTCGAAATCTATTTTTTGTTTTACTGACACAAATTCTTTGGAGATAACGCTTTACCCATCACTTGCAAGCACTCAAAACCAAAAGCTCGTTTTCAAGCTAGCAAACGAACCTTTTCGTAAATAGGCGAGTGACATTATGCATGCTCTGCGAAAGCTTTAGGGTAATGCATTTTGTCACTCGCCTACTTTACGAGAAGACTTCATATTGGAATGCAGAATTTGGATGACTATCTTGTTTCAGGTTAAACTCTCAATTGGATTGGGTTTGCGAAGGCATGGTTCATAAATGGTGAGATTTTTTCCACTCAATAACGATACTAGTTATCGCTGCAATCGATAATTATCTCGTCTCGGACTGAACTGTCAATCCGATGGTTAGCTATGCTATTGCACAGCCAAAGAATGGGTGAGATTGCTTCCACTCTATCTGACGATCCTATTTAACGGTGTAATCGATTAGAAGAAGTGGTCAGATTGCTCCAACCAAGTAACGTATTGAAATCGACTACTATCTTGTCTCGGTCTGAATTCTTCAATCGGCGGTTAGGTATAAATTGCGGAAAAGTGATGAGATTACCCAGTCTGTTTTTTATTCCTGCAAGTATGTCTTACGAATTGATATCTGGCCATTCCCAGGAAGAAAGCGGACCTTAACCAGAGCATCTGCCAAGTTTGCCCTTCCTCACGTGACGTGAAGGTCAATGTTGTATATATCATACTGGTCTAACTTGTCAAGAGAAAACTTGGCTCTCGAAAAACTCAATAGACCGAATTAGTCTTATTTTACCTGGTCCGACATCTCACGTGCTGGATGGAAGCAAGAGAAACACAGAAGGTGTGGCCTTGTTTGAATTTCCTCTTTCACATTCTTCTCAGGTTGCAAAATAAATGTTTGTCGAGTACAGGAATCTGCTGACCTAACTAGAAATATTTATGGAGAGCGGGGTCGGGGAATCTTCTAACTTTCCTCTCTTCCACCATGGCAGGGCTTGGTCGAGCAAGTGTGGCAGCTCTGTCCTTTTGTCCTTGTTGGCTTGTCGCCGTTTCATCTCTTTCGCCCAAACTTCTCTCTATCCGGCGACGTGACCCTCCGTGAATACGAAAAATATTTTATAATGATTTTGTCTTGGCGATCCGGACTTCTAGTTCATCCACTAAACGTGATGTTTTTTTGCATTCCCTCACAGCTCTTTCCGGGGCCAAAGGACGAGAGAAGCAAAGCAGAGTCTTCTGAAGGAACGATCCGGCGACAAGCCCTTGTACTAACACTTGCACTGCACTGCACTGCACGCGCTCGCTCGCTCGCTCGCTCCTCCGTTCCCTCGCTCGCAAACCAGTGTGAGAATCTTAAATATCCACTTCTCAACGGAAAATGGGGCGGGCTGCTGCAGCTGCAGCTTGGGCTTGTCAGGTTCACGGTCACGCCGGCCCAGATTCTCCAAAAGGGGAGACAAGTTCGATGCAAACGTCACGCAGCAGAGTCTCAGTTCATTTCTTCTGAATCGAAGTACAGTGCTCGGTGGTTTAGTCCGTCCTAGCGCCCAAATCCCTCGTCCGGATACTTCCGCTTTGCACTGTTCGGCTACCAAAGGTTTCGAAAGCACCAGACCACCTGTCGACGCTCATGCATATGTGCGCATGTACGCTACGACTCAGCTGCTACTCTCCGTCCCCTGCCTGGACAGCTGTCCATGCCCATGACACCCAGCTACAGCCCACCCCCACCAAACTCCAGCCCCACTGCGCAGAGGTATGCTGTCTCTCCATCTCTCTTCCCCGCCCTTCCCCGCCTCCCCTCCCTCCTCCTGAGAACACTCCTTTCTTCTACTTCTACCGACACCTTCCTGGGTCTCCGAAGCGTCGAGCCTCGTCCTGTCGACGAAGCTACTGCTGGCCTCTGTGGTCCACCAGTAGGTACTGCCACTCTGATGGACGAACTCGTTGGACCCACACGATTCTCCGCCGAGTTCAGGACGATGGCAATTTGGCACTCCTCCCTCATCTTGGGCACTCAATATCCATTGTGGAGCAGCGACACGGTGCAGTGTGCAGGTGGCCGCCACGTGTTACCTGACGGGGCTCTGCGTTTTCTGCTTGGCGCAATGCTAAGACAAGGGGGTTTAGAATTGACTGAATGTAGATTGTCTTTCATTCTCGTGCGTGCTCTTGTTGGAGTGAGAAAGAACTGATTCTCGTTCAGCTTTGAAAGCAGATTCAGCCTCTGTTCTCTAGTTGCTAAGCTTCCACGGCCCAGTCCTTTGATCTGACGTGGCAGAGTAGCACACAACAGTTACTTTGGGCTTTGGCTTCTGGGGTGGATGCCTTAGTTTGGAGTGCATGGACTCAAAAGGAAATTCCATTACAAAAAATTGCCCAAGAAAGTGAAGGCAGCAGGAAGACTTTTAGTACAGCAGTTGACCGATTTCAGTAACTTTTAGGACTTGTCTGTTCTGACACTCACTCCCTTTGCTCTCAAGACTCAGAGGATCGGACAATAGCCTCCCACTTTGCTGCTGGTTCCTGGGTTGCTGCTGGTTATTGTCGTCGGCAAGTACAATGTCGTCGTGATCCACCAACATGAGCAACTACACAACGGCCAACAGCAGCCATTGTTTCTGCCTCATCCTGTGTACACGGCCTGGCCAGCATGCGTGCATACCTGTATACAATGATGAATAAATCAACCGAGCCTCTTCGATTGACGTCGATCCTTCGGGCATTGAAAGAAAAGCACTAGTTACAGAACATGCGTAAGGAAGTTTAGAATCTCGTGACAGATGTCATCTTACAGCAGCCTGGCTTGTACACTGAGTAGCACCCGCAGCTATCAAGTGGATTCCTGGCCTGCCAGTCATGGGGTCACCTCTTTTCACGATAAATGTATCTGCTGATGCTTGTTTCATCATCGATCAGTTGCACTCGATGGATTTGTAGATGGCACTCTCTGTGATTCATCACGGGGTTGGAAGTAGGCTATTTACATGGTCGATTAAGATAAAACTTGAAATTTCCCTGCAGTCTAGTTCAATTTGCAAGGCTTGCATCTTGTTCAATTTCGTGTCTTTACGTTGAGCATCCGAATGTCTCAGTCTGCTGGGACTATGAAAATTTTGGACCGCACTATTGGGCAGTGGCTGCCTGTGCAGTTTCTTTAGATGGTGAAAATTGCTAATTGTTATCTTGCAGTGTTCAATACAGCCACGGTGCTGAAATACTTGCACTTTAAGCAGAATAACTAAACATGCATATGCATGCACACGGGCAGATCCTGATGCTCATTGGATGGTGCGTAACCCGTTCACAAGTTGCAGAAGAGGAGTTGCGATTCAAAGATGTCCGAATCACTCAGAAAGAGTCTGAAGCATCTTCCGACACAGTACAAGCCAATCACATGCACGACCGCTGCAGCTGACTAGAAAAGAAACTCGTAGGAGGTTGGATTTCGCAGAGACGCCCCAACTCCACTCAACGACACGAAATCTTTCATTTAGGATATTTCCACCCTAGATTTGATAATTGATCGATTCGATCAAGTAATCGATTTCCTGGATCACCGCACTCTCATTGATGATAGCGATACATTGCTGGATTAGATGACGAGGCGTATATAGATTGAGCACTTAAATCAGCTTTTTCCAACGATGGGCTGTTCAAACAAGCAAACTCCTCCAGTATATTCGGCCTACCTGATTCAACAATCCAATCCGACGATGATTCCTATCGGATGCGGTTCCACATGAACTATCCGATCATGTCACTATCATATTATCAAAAGATTGTGTTGCACAATCAGTCTAAAGAAACTGCAGCCGACCACACGGAACTCCACATTCCTCGGTTTACTCCCAAGGTTCGAACTCAAGCTCGCAACGTTGTCGGACGGCAGATAAGTGGGCCCCGCCTCATCAGGAACCAAGGTTTTCCAAAATATTCCGGGTCAGTCTAATTACCCACAGCGTCATCATCTTTTAAGCTCCTTCTCTCTCTCTTTGAGACACAGTAACATTATCTGGCGGTGAATCAATCAAATACTCTCATTTATATGCATAAATTAAGATTTGTACATGTAGTTCCATCTTAGTTCAGTACGGGGCATTGTAGTGCTGTAGTACTGTAAATGAGTACGTACTTTTATGCGTTCATAATAGTCGGCTGCTTTCTGTCCAACTCACGTGCGGGATGGGACCCACCATGAATGGCGACCATCAAAGGGGATGGATGAGGTGTGTGTGCGTACGTGATTCAACTGGAACGATGAACGAAATAAACAAAACGCTTACATTACGTGTTGGTCGAAGACCTAGCCTGTGTTCCAAATGTACGTGCCATACGATACCACCACCATGCTTTGTCCTGATGGTCCATCAGATCCATCAGATCCATCAGTGATGGATCTGATGCGATGGATCTGATGCGACTCAGCGGTAGATAAGTCAGCGGTTCTGAGAGAAGAGAGCAGAAATTGCATGTGACTCAGACTTGTTCTGGGTTCATGATGTATTATCATCTTCTGAGTTCCATTCAATACTAGAGGGTGAGTTGACTGCAGGTTAACACGCACCTTGGAATCATGAAGTCAATATATTTATATATCTATATGTGGTTAGGTCAAGCTGCTGTACTCTGCTAGCTCAAGAAGTACATGTAAATGGAAGAGAGGAAGACCGGCATACGGTGATGTACATGTGCTAGTCAGGTAGCGGCCAGCCCCAAGCCCATATCATCCCCGGACTGTTATAAAAACAAACAGCCCACCTCTCCATTGCATCATATACTAGCAGTCAACCCAAGAGCCGCAACCACGATACAACAACATTGTCGTGGGGGTTCAGATAAGCAGCGAGGTTTATTGGCGTCCACAGCTGCAGATTACTGCTGAGCTTCAAGCTGCTTTCATCCAACTCGAAGTCGATTGGCACGCCATCACACTGAGCTCTTAGCTCTCGGCAAGCTACTTTTATGAAAATCCGTTGTGGTGGCCTTTCATTGTTGCTTGCTATTGCATGCAAAGTCCAAAGGGGTGCAATTAGCGTTAGTTCCAATCTGCGACCTAATCGTTGATTTGTAACATTTATCGAGGTTTAGAATTACTATCTTTGTTCCTGTTGTCCTGACTCTTACCTTAGAATTGCAAGCACTTGTCCATCATTAGCATCGGTCAAGAATTAGGATCTGCAAATCCGAGTTGCAATGGCTGCGCAAACCTACTCTGGTGATATGTTACAGCAACAGCCCGAACATCGAGGGCATCATGCTTCTCATGGAACGGTGTCGCTGAAGGCCAGCATCTCTGCAAAACCTGGAACGATACGAAATGTGGGTGTTGTCAAGGGAGATGGGGAGCTGAGTTACGCGAAAAACTCGAGTTCCCAAGCAGTTGCAGTGCAAGAGTTGATCTCGTACATCGAAGATGCTGTTGACATCACTCGGCTGCCTAATTCAGCTGGACCTGTAGTAGTAGCAGATCTTGGCTGTGCTAGCGGATCTAACACGTTGAAGAACATCGACATTATTGTCAACCGACTTAAGAAAAGATATTTGCAGTCTTCTTGCCGGCAGCCTGATGTATCAGTTTACTTCAACGATTTGCCGTCTAATGATTTCAACGGCCTATTCCAGCTTGTCGCCGAAGACACCCTCACGGGTTACAGCTCAAATACTGATGCACCAGCGAAATATTTCCCTGCTGGAGTTCCTGGATCATTCTACTCCCGATTATTTCCAGAGTCTTTCGTCCATGTCTTCTTTTCTTCGCACTGCCTTCATTGGCTGTCCAAGGTGATTTTGTTCGACAGTGTCAAAAGTTTTTCCTCTCCATGCATCGGGTTTCAGATTGAGATTGACTTGCAAGTAATAATGGCACAGCCAATCAGTCGATACAGTATGCGTAAGCAGCTTCTATGATATGCATATCGTCTTCGAATAGGGATACTCAAACGATATCATACTATCAGTGTAGAATATCATGATATCGTACCATCACTCAAAATTGTGCCTCATGATTTTGTTAATTGCAGGTACCTGATGCTGTTATGGACAGAAACTCTCCCGCATTCAACAGCAATAGTTGCTGGATACAAGATGCATCAGAAGAAGTCATTGCAGCCTATAAGGATCAATCTGACAAAGACTTGACAGATTTCTTGCGTTGCAGAGCAGAAGAGCTTCAGTCTGGAGGACTGCTCTTTCTACTCTTCTTTGCGCGACAAACTTCTCACGAAATTCTAAACAACTCTCTTTTTGGGGACTTCTGGCGTCTTCTGGATTTGACTCTTGAGTCTCTAGTTTCAGAGGTACATATAATATTTCCATCCATATGAGTTTCAATACTTCGTAATTCTACGTGCAGGCTAACGAGGCAAGAAGCAAATCCCAAAGATTCAACCGGTAATAATAGCAATCATAGCTGTCATCGCCAACTAGATATTCTCGAAGGAGTATCATCAGTATTATTAAAGAATTGAAACTGAAGCTGTTGAAACCCTATCAGATTTTTTTGCTTTTCAGAAGAAAATACAAGTTTTAGCTTTATTTCATTTGAATCATTGTATATTACTACAGTATGTTATCAAGCCCATCATCACTCAATCACATGGTTCACGTTTGTTTTCCAGTGTATGGTTGATAATTATTTTTCTCATTATTTTAATCCCTATTGTTTTTGCAGCGGATTCTCACTGAAGAACAGAGAAGTTCATTCAATATACCTACTTTTGCCCGCAGCATGGAAGAAATATCAGAAGTAATTGAGAGATTTAAATCGCAGTTCGTCGTTCAAAAGCTTGAGATGTTGCCAATTTATCATTTCGCCGACTACTTCGGAAGGCGTTGCAATAATGAGGAGCCCAAAATCCTTGCGAAGAAGGTCCTTCTCATGATACGAACAACAAAAGAACCTCTTATCGAGGCGCATTTTGGCCCTGCTTTGAACAAGATATTCTGGGAGAGATGTACAGAACTTCTCCTCAGCAGTGATCTAGTTGGGAAAGTTTATGCCAGAGTAAGAAAGCCCGAACCTCTACATCAGGTTCTGATAGCTCTTGTCCGCAAGTAGAATGTCTATGAAAGACAGAAGATCATAATGCTTGATTCTATTTAGGACTGGGACTGATACAGATATTACCTAGCACAGTATTTTCCACCTTCCAAACGAGGTCACCGTTGCGCATATCATATATGCTAAACTTCTGCAGTTCGCAGGGAAGGTTTTAGTTTATGCAAGTTCTTATTTACGTTGCATCTAGCAATTTCTGATCTGGATATTTTTATTTCAAAGAGCTTGGAGCTTTGAAATATTATTATCAGTCTTTTCCTCTTGTCCGCATCATAATCCGTTGCAAGCACTTCAGGAAAAATATTCAGCTGATGGTCATATAGTACGTATGAAATATAGATGGTGGAGGATTGGGGCTTCCGAGTAGTATATATATGTACATGGTTCTACATTTTTCATTATCATGAGATGGTCTTTGATACTCCATCTGAACAGCACGAATAAAATCTGCAATACCATCTGTACACATTTGTGTCTCAAATTCTCCAAGGGGATTGCACATGAACTCTATGATTGACTAATCTTGCCTGACTAAGGCGGTGCGAAATGTTGAAATCTCCGACTATCTCTGACTACTCAATTCTGAATTGTTTTCATGCTACCCAGAATGGTTTTATCAGGCTCAATATATCTCCTCCGACCATTCTGCAAAAGCGGAATAATTACATTCGTTTTTCGTTCAGATGCTGAACAAAACTGAATGAAACAATTCCCATTACTTCTGGGTATGTTTTTATGATTTTGAACCCATGACTAGAAGCCAGATCTAATTTTAATACTTTGCGGAAAAATTTTTGTCATATTTAACGCTCAGCTTCTAATAACAAGCTTCTAAGGTGACAATATTATAAGGTCGGAAGAACATCATATTAACAATAATTACACTTCAACTGAGCTTTGAACGGAAGTGGAGTCTCAAAAATATCGCAGCTGCTCTAAGATCATATTTCCGCGACAGAGAACTCTGTATACGCATGCTCGAACATCAGGTCCAGCGATAAACATAAAGTTAATTTAGCTGAAACGAAATTAGATGGTCTTTCATATTTATTTTTTCAAATTCTTTTTGATGCAATTCTCAGAATTTCGCGATTCACTTGTGTCTCATGAACGGCGCACATGTCCAGTCGATCCGTTGCTCACTTGCTCGCCAATGAAACTGAGTACTAGAGAGGAAATAGGGCTCAGAAGAATTTTATAGGACCTTCGTCGAGAATTAGAGTAGCAGTTAAAGTTTAGAATTGCCTGACGAGGCTGAGAAAAGATAACTCTGATACGGGTTATTAGTGTCTCAGTTAACACGCAAGATGTACCTGCCCGATCATGTAACAATGATGCAAGGTCCACTAAGCTTATTTCATCGTTGCCGTTTTAAGAGCTTAACTGTAGAGCCTTCGTGCATAAGTATCAAGTCAGGGTCGACTCAACAAGAAAATATTGTTTTCTTCAAACTCAGAGTCTAATCTGCCCAAACATAGTTTGTTTTCATTGCCGTCAGCCTCAATCCCCTCCGCAGAATTCAGTGCAGTTCCAGTTATTAACCTCACAAGAAGGATTGCCCATTGAATAAACCTACAATCGAGTAGTTGTCGATAAACTGGCGAGGTGAATGACACCGAAGAAACCCGGACCAAATGAGAATGCGCCTTTCAAATTTCCAGTCACTTACAAATCCAGAATCCATATTTTGGTCTTACCTTATAGAGCTTTACTTTCTCCTCATTATCAAAAACCTATGGAAAAAAAGGCACCCAGAGCTGTTCTTCTGATCACAAAGAACATTGGAATGATAAGAAATGTCATTTTTTTTTCACAAGTCAATGGAGCCGAAACCGACTGTTCCATACAAATCCCAAGGCTTGGTTTGTCGCCACCATCTCTTTAGACCGCAACACGTGAGGACACTGAGATCGTGCACGAGTGATAGCAAATCGGTCTCCAAAAGCATGTTCGTTGTCTGAGATTTTAGCGGTGACCTTTGGTATGATCTAATATTACGTATCCTTTAGTCTCGGTGCATTCTGGCAGAGTCAAACTATATTTACACTTTTGTATCTACCTGTCCATGATTCAATTTGACAATAACAAACTGGAGCCAAAGTACGTCTGTCCAGTTATCTTGCGGTTGACAAGTTGACATATCTCTGATTTATCTATCTCCAGATCAACTATTCGAAGGGTCCAGATACAGTTCAACTTGCTACAAACCACCGGTAAATGACAGAGCATCTCCCAGATCTGGCAAAATCTGCCTGACGCTTTCGGATCTCTTTCGTCTGCTGTCTCTTTACAGTCTAATCTTGTATTTCGAGTAAGCATTTTCTGGACGTGGAAGATTCTCTGTGGACTTTGGCATTTCTAGGTAGGTTTGTTGTGATTCAATGTTAGGCTCGTGTGTTCTTGAACGACCAATCCTATCACTTGTAGACTGCAAGCGATGCCCAAACAGTTACTGTCTCCAATGAGCCCAGCCCACACTGGCATTGGAAATCTTCAAGAAAATTTCCAATTCCTTCAACTTATGCATAGCCGATTTCTTACACTGGGTTTCGGGACTGAGAGAACGATTAGACCTAACCCTTGTCTTTCCTACGCTGAACAGAGTAGGTCAGTCTAATGAAGAAAATCATCTCTATCCTGGATCAGGAAGTTACACCAAAGGGGTTCAGTTCTGATTTTCCTACAGTACCACTTGAGAAGGTGCTGGTCCAGCCATGCATGGAATGTAACAATAAGAATGAAAAATGGGAAATGAACCTACCATTGAGGTTATCCCATTTGCTGTTGTTGCTGAAGCGTACGCCTTACGAAAAGAATCAAATTACTTAGTTATTTGAATATCTGGAGTTGGAGTAGCTTTGGGTGTGTCTGTTCGGATTCAGCAAAAGCACTTCCGTTGAATGTTGGATCTGTATACCCTTCGCAAATGAAGAATAGAAATGGTCATTACATAACAAACTTAGGTTATTCATGAACTGAAAAACATAAATGGTCGCCATATGAATATCCTCAGTTGGATACGAATAGCTTTCACAAAACAAAAACGAAATTGATGCTTATAAAAGCATTCCGGTCTCCGCGTCTCACTGATATATCTACCTTACCATATTAGATGCTACGTCTGAAGCGAATTCGTGAAGCTAAGAAAGGCAAGGTTTGCTTCTCTCTACAAGATCAGGCTAGGTCCTAGGAGCTCACTATCCAAAACAGGTGGATCTGAATGTTTTTACTTAAAAGTTCACATTTTTGGAGACTGGTCACTGACAGTATTTTTTCTGGACATGCTGCTTGTTGACCTGTTGAAGGCGTCGAAAACAGTAGTAACTTGGTTACTTCTTTGAAAGTCTTTCTCTACTTTGATCCTAAAAAGTTCCTCACTTTTTATTTTAAATGTAGCACCCATGTGTTAGATAGCTCCTTCGACGGAGGGGGTCACCACCCTCCGTAGTTCGATACATAGCATGAGTCCATATTTACTGCATGATGTGCATCAAAGAAGAGGATCAAGCACCCAGAATATCTACTTTTTTTGAAGAGACCACGTCATGATAGTAAGGCCTTGAGTGTCAACTGCAAGATTCCTTCCTGATCCTAAATAAGGGCCACTCATCTCAACCGGAAGGGCAGTAATGGTATCCTTTTATATATGCTGTCATCCAAAACCAGAGCAAGAACTAGAGGTATGAAAAATACATCATGGGTCCGTTCTCCGTGGATGTTGGATCTCATTTCCGCTTCGCAATGCTTGTTGTCTCATTAATATGCAGTTAATGAAAAAGGTGAAAAGTCGAGGCAGTTGGGTGCAGGTCAGCTGCTATAAGGAAAAATTAATCACTTAAGCTATCCTACCGATTCAAGTCCAAGACTATCCAATATCGCAGATTGTGCATGCGATCGAACTCAATCTGCCATCTTCTTGTCTTCAGATGAATATTCTGACTTCCCCTACATCATACATACATATATTAAGCTTGTATATCATGAGTATATACAGTTCCAGGGCCCAAAGACGATGAGAAACAGTAATTTCAACGCCACATGTGGAACCTCACCGGAGGCTCTCCCCATGCTAACGGATGACGGATCATGACACATGCGTGACATAAGTTCAAACCTGACAGTACACAAAAATCTGATCCAGTAGAAGATAAAGCCGAAAATATGTTCTTCATCAAAAGTAAGGAAATAAAGATGCGAACGTATATAATCTAAGGCATGCTTTAAGCAACTCGGAGTAAAGCACTTCGCATATAAAAGTGATGATGATGATTCATCCCCATGGATTGTTTCTTCAGGTTTTGCAAACCAAGATAAGAATTACTGAAAATCCATAATCAGGTAATCTGGAATCATAGCCTGCTCCTTCTGGTACTTTTCATACTTTATACAACATCTTTCTGGATCACTCATGTTATCAATCTTACTGCCAATTTTGGAACAGAGGTTGAGGCCATGTGCAACGAATGTATTCACTAGGACACGTATACATATAATATATACCTCCACATTTGGTCCCGAAATTTCTAAAACTGGTCGTGTCCAGAATGCTAAAAAGGTGTCCCACATCTGTAGTTCAAGGTTACATCTGTTACTGGTTTTGCATGTTTATCCCTTCTCGATCTTCCTACGTTTGTAAGAATTGGATGAATTGGAAAATATTTCATGATCAGCTTTGTAGACATTTCTATTCACTGAACCCTCATTGGACCTGTGCTTCTATTGAGGTTGCTCTGAGAATATCAATCCCACAAACCTTTCGATTCTGAGAAAAACTGGGCTCTACTGATGGAACAAATGTTTCCCGGTACGTAGCAAGTAATCATCAATACCATGCACACCGGTTGAAATTCCCATATTTTTAATGTTATGTACGATTCAGACGTTTGACAATTCAAATATGTAATTCATACACTCCGATCTTCTCGTGAAGGCCCATTGTCACAGAGCTGGCAAAGTTATTGTGAACTTACGAATCACAAATCTAATGTCATGAATGGATCGTTGTCACTGACTATACCCGGTGGGGCCACATTATGCCCGTGCTTTGTTCAGCAGCACACCTTGTTTGTACACACTATATTCATAGTTGGCCTTATCTCTCCTTTTAATAAATACCGGTGGTGTGTTGAATGTCCAATTATGCGTAACCTTTCTACAAATATGGCAAACTTTTGTGGGGAAGAAGCGTCGGGCACGTGCTTTTGCCCAACCACTCGAAGGTAGGAAAGATCAAGTAGTCTTGATGCTGAGGGCAAGTGCTCTGAAGAATGTCAATAAAACATGTACAAACTAAGAAACTGGCCAAAATACAAGCCACCAGTGTGGAATGCTCCGTATTTGAGGCTGCAATACTTACCTGTTGATAAATCAACTGGCGTCTGGTCACAACTAGGCCGTCAACTTAACTTTTTACTTTAGCATTCACTTGCACCCATGTGCTGAGAGCGGAGCCTTAATATGTGTT